ATCAACTCCTCGCCACTCAAATTATGTGGTCGAATACGGCTTCAGGATTCGACCTAGACTCGTGTATAAGTCACTTTTCGCTCGTTCAAGAATCTTTTTCCTTTGTCAGAGTCTGATTTAGCGTCTGATGCCGCCTGTTTTCTTTTCGAGATGTACCAATGTCCTGCATGATTGGATTCCCTGCCGTGTATGATGAACCTGTTTTTGTTTTTTTTATCCTTGCAACATCTGAAGCCATTGATCTCATCTATTTTTCCCCACCTCGCATTGTCAGTGGGATATTGAGCAAGGATACCATTCGAGGGAGTAGCGAGCAGTCGGTCCTGTGATTTGAACTTTTTATCTCTTTCCTTCTTTCCTTTGTTGGAGTGAATCGGAGTGCAGTGGATCCTTGGGCGTTGATGATGATGAATGAACCTTTCCTACATTTGTGACCCCATCTCCATTCGGCTGAATCTTCTCTTCACTCACTGTCATTATTTTTCTCTGATTTTATTTTCCAATTGCAGTCCTTGGGAAGCATGGACTGACCAGCCGATATGGGATCAAGCGGGCTTGAGAACTGGGTAATACTTGTGATTTATACGTGTTGAGTCTGGACGCAACAATTGGTGGTAGATAGAATGAGAACATACTAAATCTCCTTACCTTGATTCAGACATTCTTTGAGCTTCTAAGATAAAAACCGTACCCTATACCAGAGGTAATGGACGAGAATCAGCATACTCTGTGCATCTGCTGTTCTCGCCACTGCCCGACTTCTTGGCGCCGCAGCTTGACCTTCCGCGTGGATTTTCGCGACCTCCGCTCCGACAACTATCCCAAGGCCGTTGGTCCCTCTGTCATGCTGTTTTTGTTGGAACTTCTGCTTCTTCTGCACCCTTAAATTCTATCACGGGCTATTCTCTGTTTTGGCTCCTGAACAGCCCAATCATGTGCGATAGCATCTACTAGAGCAAGGAGCTCCAAAAAGGTTGCAACACGTTGAACGCATTCACCCAGCTACAATCTCCCTAGCATCCACACCGATAGTCGAACACAGCAATGGATCACAAAACCTTTGTATCTGACTCCCTGATCCGCCTGACAGGCGCTTCGGATCCCACCATCGTCGACTTCGTCCTCGCCACCGCCAGTACAGCCAAATCCGCGACCTCATTACAGGACAAACTCCTCCCCTTCCTCGACGGAAACGCCGATGAAGTCAGCTCATTCTGTGCGGAGCTCTATCGACGCGCAGGCAAGAAGGAAGCGCCCGTATCCGGTAGCGCGCCGGGACGGGACCGCAGCGATGCCGCGTCGAAGAAGAAATACCGATTAGTTGATATGGGGCCCGATCTGGCGGACACGGCGAGCTCGCTGGCGCCGCAGAACGTCGAGGCGGAGCGCGACAAGCAGAGACGCCGAGACAAGGACAAGGACAAGGACAAGGACCGGAGTCGAGGCCGGGAGGATGAGCGGGGCGGTCGCGGTCGGTGGGAGAAGGAGGAGAGTCGCCGGAAACGCGACCGCAGCCGTAGCCGCGATGAGGGCAGTCGAGAGCGGCAGCGCTCGAAGAAACTGCGTAGACGGGCTGTGGATGATTTTGAGGATCGGTGGGGCGACGAGGAGATCCCGGACGACCATGAGGATGGGGAGGAAGAGGGGCGGGGCTATGATGAATCGCCGCCGAAGCGCACGCGGCTGCAGGATGGGTCGGCGTCGCCTCGGTCCACGGCATCCGATGAATTAGATGCGGAGACGAAGAAGGAGTTGGAGCGCAAGCGGGACTTGGAGGAACGGGACGAGTTCGCCAGGCGTCTGGCTAAGAAGGAGGATAGCAAGAGCAAGAAGATCGTCGAGGACCGGACGAGAACGAGTGAGGCGGCGCGACGGCGGGCTTTGGCGGACGATGCTGCGGCGCGGGCGGCCGTCATGCCTGATCTGCGGCTGCGGTCTCGGCAGGAGTATCTCAAGAAGCGAGAGACGGAGCGGCTGGCGCTGCTGCGGCGGCAGGTCGCAGAGGAGACGGTCGAGCTGCGTGAGAATCCCAATCTGACCCGCCGAGAGAAGGAAGAATTTGCGCGCAACCGGGAGGTGCTGCGGATCGCGGAGGAGCGCTTACGGATCGACGACCACCGCGACGGGTATATGATGCCGGAGGACTACATCACGGAGAAAGGCAAGATTGATCGCAAGAAGAAAGAGGAGGCGCTGTACAAGCGATATGTGGACCGTGATGAGCACGGCCAGGAACGGTTCGTCACCGAGCACGAGGAATGGGAGATGGAGCAGACGGCCAAGGCCAAGGCGCAGATCAAACGGGCGGAATTCGTGGACGAGGGCGACTACGAGTATGTCTTTGACGACTCACAGAAGATCAATTTCGTCGTGGACACCAAGCTCGAGGGGACCCGCAAACCATTAACGCAGGAGCAGCGGCTGCTTCAGGAGAAGCTGGACGCGGCGGAGAAGAAAGCGGCCTCGATCGAGGAGACACGGAAGAGCCTGCCCATCTACCAGTTCCGGGAGCAGATCATTCAGGCGGTGCATGATCACCAGGTACTGATCATTGTGGGAGAGACCGGGTCCGGCAAGACCACCCAGCTCCCGCAGTACCTTCACGAGGCCGGTTTCACCAAGAATGGCATGAAGGTGGGATGTACACAACCGCGACGGGTGGCCGCCATGAGTGTTGCGGCTCGTGTGGCCGAAGAGATGGGAGTGAAGCTGGGCAACGAAGTCGGCTATGCCATCCGCTTCGAGGACAACACGAGCGACAAGACGGTGCTCAAGTACATGACCGATGGTATGCTGCTGCGTGAGCTGTTAACCGAGCCTGACCTGGGCCAATACTCGGCCCTGATGATCGACGAGGCGCACGAGCGAACGGTGCCTACGGATATTGCCTGCGGTCTTCTGAAAGATATCGCCAAGGCGCGGCCGGATCTGAAGCTTCTGATCTCCTCTGCGACCATGGACGCACAAAAATTCCAGAAATACTTCGACGACGCACCCATCTTCAACATTCCTGGTCGTCGGTATCCCGTGGACATTCATTACACCTCGCAGCCCGAGGCCAATTATTTGGCTGCCGCCATCACGACCGTTTTCCAGATCCATGTCAGCCAGGGGCCGGGGGATATCCTGGTGTTCTTGACTGGTCAGGAAGAGATCGAAGCGGCCGAACAGAGCCTACAGGAGACGGCGCGCAAACTGGGGAGCAAGATCCCCGAGATGATTATATGTCCCATCTACGCCAACCTACCGTCTGAGCTCCAGACCAAGATCTTCGAGCCCACACCACCGAAAGCGCGGAAAGTCGTGCTGGCCACGAACATCGCCGAAACCAGTTTGACGATCGACGGCATTGTCTACGTCATCGACCCGGGATTCGCCAAGGAGAATGTCTTCAATCCGCGCACAGGCATGGAGAGTCTGGTGGTGACGCCTTGCTCGCGGGCGTCCGCGAACCAGCGCGCCGGTCGAGCCGGTCGAGTTGGGCCGGGGAAATGTTTCCGATTGTACACGCGATGGGCTTACTACAACGAGTTGGAAGAGAGCACGACGCCGGAGATTCAGCGGACGAACCTGAGCAGTGTCATTCTGATGCTCAAGTCGTTGGGAATCGACCAGCTGCTCGACTTTGACTTTATGGACCCGCCGCCGGCAGAGACGATCATCCGCGCGCTGGAGCAGCTGTACGCCCTGGGGGCCCTGAACGACCGCGGGGAGCTGACCAAGATTGGACGGCAGATGGCGGAGTTCCCCACGGACCCCATGCTGGCCAAGGCGATCCTAGCGGCGGACAAGTACGGCTGCGTGGAGGAGGTGTTGTCCATTGTGTCGATGCTGGGCGAGGCCAGCGCTCTTTTCTTCCGCCCCAAGGACAAGAAGATCCACGCGGACAGCGCGCGCAACCGGTTCACCGTCAAAGATGGCGGCGACCATCTGACGCTGCTCAACATCTGGAACCAGTGGGTGGATTCGGATTTCAGCTATATCTGGGCCCGCGAGAACTTCCTACAGCAGCGCAGCTTGACGCGCGCGCGCGACGTGCGCGATCAGCTGGCGAAACTGTGCGACCGCGTCGAGGTCACCATCAGCACGTGCGGATCGAACAACTACGTTCCGATCCAGAAGGCGATTACGGCAGGCTTTTTCCCGAACGCGGCCCGGCTGCAGCGCGGCGGCGACAGTTACCGGACGGTGAAGAACGGCCAGACGGTCTATCTTCACCCGTCGAGTACCTTGTTCGAGGTCAACCCTCGCTGGGTGATTTACTACGAGCTGGTATTGACAAGCAAGGAGTACATGCGCAGCAACATGCCTCTGCAGCCGGAGTGGCTGGTCGAGGTTGCGCCGCATTACTACAAGAAGAAGGACCTGGAGACGCTGGGGTTGGACCGCAAAGTGCCCAAGGGACAGGGTGCGGCCGGCGAGAAGAGCAAGGATTAAGTCTATTGTATTAGAATATACTCAAGCCGTAGCATTTCTTTCAATCCATGATATCCATGACACTAAAAGTACCTGTCAGATTGCAGGTAATCTGGTAATATGATTACGCTGGTGATCTGAGCATGCTAGGTCAAAACTAGGTCATATTCATCATATGTCCAAGAATGTATGTGATAATCTATGTAAGGAGCGACATGACCAGAAGAAATATACATTCTGGTCAGGTGAATCTAACTAAAACAGGCAATATAAGTGAGTGTAAAATATACAGTCTAATACCAAAGATACAGTGCTTCGACAGTACCTAACACATGAGGTGAAAGTATGGAGTAACCAATCACCGCCCCGCCATTAGAATTGACACCGACCGCGGTTCGGCCGCGAGGTTTGGTTTACCTCGGCTGTCGTGGTTAACCTCAGATGGCAGCTCCATATCCAATACTCCACTTACCTCTATCCTCCCCATAATCTATTACTATCTCCAACCTCCAGATCTCCACATCACCATCGATCACGAACCTACAACTCCTCCTCCCGCAAACCAACACCATATCCCAGCGACCATGACCCAATCCTTCACCCCCGCCGAGGTCGCATCCCACAATACCCCCGACAAGGGCCTCTACATCATCATCGACAACAACGTCTACGACGTGACCAAGTTCGTCGACGAGCACCCCGGCGGCGCGAAGATCCTGAAGCGCGTTGCGGGCAAGGATGCCTCGAAGCAGTTCTGGAAGGTTGGTTCCGTTTGCGCTTTCCAAAGCACAAACACACATTGAATGTTGCGGAAGAGGGATGAGGCTAATGTTTGTGCGTGGGTTGCGGTTGCAGTACCACAATGACGGCGTGTTGAAGAAGTATTCGCCCAAGTTGAAGATTGGGGAGGTGAAGGAGGCTGCGAAGCTGTGATTTGTGATTTATATATTGGGGTATGGGGTTGGGATTAGACGTGATGGGGATTGGTTCTACGGAGGATATCCTATGGAAGAGGAAGAGGAAGTGGATCGGGTGGATGACCTGATAGATGTATGCACATATTGACTAACTCTTCAAGACGGCCCAATGCGAAAATACAAGCGTCAAGTGGTATCTCTTGCGGAATATACAGTAATAACGATATACAAGACGAAGTCGGTCCAGAATTTCAGTTCAATCCAACCCGCACGGCTAGAAACCTCTGAACGGATCGGGCTCGCCGTCCTCCGGCATGGAGAATTCCCCGTAGAACCGCTGACTACTCGATCCCCACTGGCTCGACGGTTTGCGTGTATGCCGCGACCGCGTCCCCGGGCGATACCGAACAGACTCGGTCTGGTCGATGAACGCCTCCATGCGGACGGTGCCGATGGCGTCGAAGAAGTTGCCCGTACCGATGCTGGACGGCCCGCTCGCCTCCGACGTGCGTCGGCTGAAGCTGCTGCGGCCGCTGTTGAGGCCGTGCGCCTGCGACGACGGGTGCACGTAAGTGTCCGAGGAGGCCCCGCGCGTGGCCACGCTGTGAATGGACGGGATCGACGGCATGGTCCCCTGGCTGGAAAAGCTGCGCATCACGGGCATCCGGGGCGTGGTGTTGCTGCGCTTGCGGGCATGGGAGGAGAACCGAGGCACCGTCGGAGGGTCGGCCGCGTCGAGCATCGAGTCAATGGTCTCCAGCCCATTGGCGGGTAGTTCAGGTACCGGGGCGGGTGCTTTGTTGCGCCGACCCTTGATGTTGGGTCGCGGGCGCCCTTTGGCGATGCGGATCGAGTCACGAATGGGGTTCCGGCGCAGGGTCGCGGTGGGCGCCGGCGACTCGAATTCGGCCTGCGGGACGGGAGGCAGAGCGGCGAGGTCTTGAATGCCCATTGCTGAATGGCTCAGGAACGAGAGTGCAGTCAGCCAGACGTAATGCCGTTCGATGCTGGTGGCGGTGAATTTCAGGGCGCGCTGGGGGGTCAAGATCAGGATGGATCGATTGAACGGGGTGGCAATGGTCGCTCCCTTGGGCAGGGGGTTATCGTCCTTGACATCGAGAACGGATTGGATGATCACTGGTGGAAGTTAGTCTCATCAGTGCGACCCATCACTCCTCCTTGAAGATGAGGACTTACGCTTTCGGCCACTTTTACCTAGCAGCGCAGGACCACTGGTGGGCTGCTTGCTGCTCCACATGACTGCTCGCTCGTATGGCGCCAGCCAGACCCATCGCCTGTGACGCACTCCGCTGTTGGTGATACTGGCCGATACCTCGTCGGCATTCTTGCCCTCCCAACTGTCCTTGGGCTCACCGACGCCTCCGAAGGATCTCCTCCGCCGAACATACTTGTACATCCATTCTCCGATCATGGTCTGCGCGATGGCGTCGACCACACTGGTTGGCTGGACCGAGGTCGTTGCGCTCGAGTCTTGCCGTTCATGGGCAAAGGGTCGAGAGACAGAGGGGCGGTGTGAAGGCCGTCCTCCGACAGCCATTCGGTCCCGAGGCGCCGTAATATCATCGAATGGGAGCGGCGGATACTGAGGGCTTTCCAGCCCATAGGAGGACGGAGACGACTGGCTCGTGGGCCGCTCGGGATGCTCCGATTGAGACATGGCCGCTGCTGAACGTACTCGACGCAGTGTCGGTCTCCGCAGAATGGGCGCTCGTCCGCGATCGGAGAAGTTGCGCGGGTTTGAGGGAGTCGGGCTCTGCCGTCCATCGCTCCCGTTGCCGGGGAATTTTCTTGAACTGAGGCGGATTGGAACAGGGAAGGGAGGGGCGACGCTCGACGCCCCGCTACCGCTGTCAATACTCGGCTCGCTCGGGCTGCGTGCCCTTCGCCGATGCGCCGCTGTACCGCTAGGGATCCTTGTGGCCATCCGGCCATCCCGCTGGTTTGCCCCTGAACCTGTCACCCTTGGCCTCTGCCCCTGCGGTGACGATTCAGACGGCTCCAGGGCCTCATGGACATGAGAATCGGCATCGAGGAGTTGCTCATCAACTTCTGCCAGTACGTCGTCGTCCAGGCTCGACCCTTCCTGCGCCGAAACCAGCTTGCCCCTTTTCAGTTTGTATGAAGCAAACGGCCGATTGAGCAGCGCGTCATCCGTGAAGATATCTCGCGTTGTCTCCCGAGTGTCCTCGTCATCTTCGTCATCAAAGCCAGCAAAAAGACTGCTGGATCTAAAGGGCCGCCTCAAGTCGGATTTAGAATCCTCCGATAATGGTCCGTTGTCGTTGTTTCCAGGATACGCCTGCACCATGGCGGGCGGTTTGCCTCTCGACGGAGCCTTGGCGGGAAGTGGAGGCGGTTTGGTTTCACCCCTGCTCAGCCTCGGTGACGGGGGTCGATACGGTTGAATGGGCGAATCTGAACTGCTCTGAGCACGCGACACATTAAGTGGCAGGTCAGGAATCGCAGAGGGAAGCAAGCTGGCCGGCAACTTGACCGGTCGCTTGTCAATACGAATCTCTTCGGTCTGGATGGCAACCGATCGACTGTCAACGACGGTTTTGAAGTTTGTTTGGCAGGAGACAGTTTTCGTCTGAGGTGGTAGAACCACGCTTCCTCGAGGCGAAGAAGGCTCGGAACAGGGGGGATGGATGGCGATCATGGGAACTTCAATCGCCGAAGGGGCTGATTTTGTAGGAGTTACAATCGCATCTTGTTTGTCTCTCGCAGGGGCTGGAATGAGATCGGTCTGCGTCGACGTTGAGGCTGTTGCAGCCGGTTGTTGGGGGCCCGCCGCCATTGGTGTTTCGGCGATCAGGGGTGTCCACGGAGGGCTGGGCAGGTTGCCGACCGTCTGACAAGACGTCGACTTCATGTCGATAGTCAAGGTCGAAGTACCGCTATCCTTCGCCTGGTAAGAGGGTGGCAATGCCTGCGAATTATGCTCAAGTGGACTTTCAGGAGGTAATTGAGGAGACGGCGGAGGGGAGTACTGGATACCAGCATCTTGATATCCGAATCTGGGCGAGGAAACCTTGGCAGGACTGTTCAGGCCTCTGTCAATCGCTGCATGACCGTCTATGCTACTGTCAATGGAGAGACCAAGGATCTTTCGAGCCTTCAGGCTCATCGACAGGGAGGCATGGGAGTGGACCGAAGTCGGCCGTTCCTCCGGTAGCGCCTCGGGCGAATCCAGCCTAAAGTCGTCGTGCAGATTGTCGAACTCGTCCTCCTCGTCGAATGCCAGCTCCTGCGCCAGACTCACTCCGTTGGGCTTGCTGTCTTGAGCATTCGCAACGCTGACAACAGAATAGCGCACATTATGAAAGTCAGCGTCTTCCTCGGAGCTCATACTGGTGACACTCGTCCGACGTCGTCCCTGGCTGCTGGAATGCACACTGGTCGAATCACTCCCCCTCTCGTTGGTGGATGGTCTGGCTGGTTCTGGGGCATCAGGCTTCGGCGATGCAGCGGGCAAGGAAGCCGCTGCTTGCGCCGCGGCAACCTCGTTCAAGACGACTTTCAGCCGGCCCTCAACCACATGGACCTTCCGCTCGAGATTTCTACGCTCTCCTTCCCAGGACTCTCTTTCGCGGTCTAAGAGACTTTGGGTTCGCTCGAGCTCCTCTTCTCGACTGCGAGCCTTCTTCTGCGCCTGTTCCAGCTTCCTTCGTACATCCGAGATATTCTCCAAAGCTTCGTCTCGCTCTTTTGCCAGCTCGGTCAAGGCTGAGGAGGTACCGCCCTCCAGGAGCTGCAACTGATGCTTCAGAGACCGGGTCTCTTTTGTGCTTCGTGACAGACGATCATTGAGACCGTCGTTCTCATTCCGGGACTCATCCAAGCTTCTTTCCAGCACGTCGATCGCCTTGGATTTGTTCTCCACCTCCCGCCGCAGAGAGAGGATTTCCGACACTAAGGAGGCATGTAAGGTGGGCGTGAATCTTCGCGGGTCGAACGGTGACAAAGTATCTTCATCCGCCACATCGTCCAGGTCACTCGGTCCTTCGGGGGAAAAGTTGTGAGGGGCAAGAGGTGATGAGGAGCGGATGGGCGATGAATCGCTGCGAATATGTATGGAGGGCACCCGATGCGGCGTTGTGGATGGCGTAGGGAACGCCTGAGCCGCTGAAGGGCTTTGATATTGAACGTCGGTGGTCATGGATTCTATCTTCGAGAGGAAACAGCCGAGTCGGAGCTTTCAACCATCAACACAAAGGGGATCGCAAGTTGACCACGCAGAGCAGTCGGGCCCGTTCCCACAGATCCGAGTCAAAGCAAGTCATACGGCATCCGTCGATCTGATTCAAGACTGCGAGTCGAGATGCAGGTGAACGAAGACGCTGGCCAGCAGCAGTAATTTCGAGAAGAATTGTTGCCAAACGAATCTGCAGTGACAGCCCAGTCAGCCAATTCCAGCCAGGACATCCAGCCTCCCTAGTCTTTCGTAAACGTGCTCGTACCTCAGGTCAGAATAGCTCCTGAATGTTGAGCCCCCGAGGGGCTGGGCTTGCACTTGTCAATTATGTACTTGGGTATTAAAGATTAAGAATTAGCATGCGAATGTGAGGAGACGTAGAACCCGAATCAATTGGTGCAAGAACAGCGAGAGGATCGAATGAGGACTGGAAGATAAGGATGGAAATGAGTCCGCGCAGCGCGCGGGAGGGTGAAGATCGAGACTCGAGACAGACGACGCAGGCAGAGCGACTGTCTATCTACATGCGAGATGACGGCCGGTCTTCCACTCAATCGCTCATCCTTCGAAACTAGAAGGCTAGGCTATCTAGTCAATAGATCGCGAGCGACGGTCTGCAAGCAAGCCAAAATATGGAAAGAGACGAGCCCATGCAGCTGAGCCCGTTAGATCCGTCTCCAACTTTTTTCTTTTTTTTCCCTTTTGTTGTCAGGAGGATTTTTAGCCTTGCAGCACAGGAACCTGCCTGAGCATCTCGAATTGGACTAAGATAGAGCCGGTCCAGGGGCAGTTCGTTAGGGGGTTGGATCACTGGATGCACAGGCTGGCGGATGCACTACTGAATAGCACCTCAGCACTGATGGGGTACTACTCACCATCGTGGTTAGTAGCATTAGTACTACGGAGTACTCCATATGAGAGTTAATAAAGGACAGAAACCCAATTAGTGGAAGGTTGAGGAGGAGCACAAGAATACCCCACCAGAGCTGTTACTGCCACTGGTGAGGCTAGAGTCGCTAGACAGCCTAGATTGGATGGACTGATATCTAGTGGAGGTGTCTGATCGATGAATGCGTTGGATGGATCGTGTTATTACTCCGTAGATAGAGACTAAAGGATGGATTAATGGACGGCAAGTTGATAGGACTCGGCTGTATTGGGTATCATTCAAGGTTGCCCGCGATCAGTCTGTTGTTAGGAGAAGAAAGAAGCAATAATAACTAGTGAGGTAATAATAAAGATAATTAATCCTCCGTACGGATAGAGGACAGTGGAAAAAGGCAAAAAGGGGATATGAAACACGCGTGGAAAGGATTAAATTCAGCCTGGAGATGAGAAGAAGAAAGAAAGGGAAAAGGAGACGCCGGCACTGGCAGGAGTACTATCATGGTTCCAAGCTATTCCCGTGCAACACATATTGAAATGATAAGTATGCTCTTCTTATGATTATTACCTACAAGGCTGGCTACATCTCTGATAGGACTTATCTAGTTACCTCACTTCTTGAAATCATCATTCTTTTGGCTCACCCATATGGTCTACACAAAGCCATCTCAGCTGTTTCTAAAGTCCACGGAATAGAGCTCCACTCGACCGATAATGGACTTTTTAACTAGGAGAATGAGTATCAATTCAAGTACCTGGACTGGATTAATAATAAATCCTCCTCTATATAAAGCTATCTCTGTATCCCTGTTTTGTTCGAGCTTATGGGATATGGATACAGGGTCTCACTCTCACAGTCTCACCGGAAAGTCTGAACGGAACCAGGGAACCATCCATTGATCGACAGGAGAATCATACGACGGCGAATTGGTGATACGTACAATCATTTACGATGCCCTGACTATGAGATATCATCAGCTTGGATCCACCGTTTGCTTCTCAAAAAGATCGTCATAGCCTTTGGTCCGTGTTTCAGTACGGAGTTGATATCCCTGACTCCGAGCATGTGGTAGGTTTAAACACGAGCGTTGTAGTAGCAGACTAAAGAGTTGTAGTAGTAGTCGCGTGTGATCGAGCATTCAATTGGTCTGTTGGGATCGAATCTTTTGATTTCGACTGCAGGAGATGCAGCGCTGCTGATGAATGCAAGACGTGGTCAAATGTCAATAATGAATGATGCCCAATGCTGTACACTACCACCATTATCAACGGAACATCATAACATGACAGGTGACACAGGCAGAAGACAAAACTCGGAAAGTGAGGAAATACCCGAGCGCTTCCTTGGATACATTACATGATTACCTTACACAAACACAGACGGGCCGCGTCTCGTCTCATTTTTGGTCTTGACTTTATTTCTATGGTTCCATAAATGAACGACGGAGCGCTTGCCTGCTTTGAGATTGGTTTAATGAGGTCCATAATATAATTTAATAGGTTGAAGGAAGAAACTAATGGCCGGAGGACTCAATCCTCATAGATTAAGTGGCCCCTGCTGCGGCCCCTTTTCTCATGTCCTTAAAAGCAATATGGCAGGAATAACGCTCACATGTTCCTTGGTTCCGTGGTATGTCACGGCAAGGTACTCTCTCTATCATCAAGTCAGTACTACTCTATTTTCTTCTAGAGCTTTAAGTGGTCTACGTAGTCCTTGGCCTCCATCCAACTGCAGAAGAACGTGATGTCTTGAAAAGACCATCAGTTCAGAACGTGACAGAAATCTACTAATCCAACTAGACTGCTTACTTTAGACCCGGCGTTGTTGGTGACTCCACTGCAATCAATTAGCATCGGGCCTCGAGCTTTGCATTCAGGGGTTTGTACTTTTGTCTTTGGATCAAAGAGGTCTTTCAGTAATATGACAGGCCCATACACAAAGGCCATCAATTCCATTTGGTCCTGCCCAAGAACTACAACTATCCACATGATTGCTATTCTACGGACTATCTAGTACGGACTATGGAGTAGATAGTCTACGACCAGATACGGAGTACAGCCCACTAATTATTTCATTCTAAAAGAAAAGCTCATGATACTGGATCGCCTTATCATCGCATTGAACTTGAGAAATTCATAATACCGAGGTTGCCAACTGTCATGTTAGTAATATCCCTTCGAGGCTACAACTACCTTGCACTAATTTGATCACACATGTGCAGCCGTTGAGGATCATCACACTGCAGCTGTCAAATTTCAGAATAATTGATTCTGTCTCTAATACTGTAGGGCTCGATCATCAGTCGCCCATCCGTGACTCCATCCTCAATCATTGATCTATCTGAAGCAATGGACGATGTGATGATGTGATTTATCCACATACTCATCCACTTGCCGAGTACAGTTCGAACATCAAAACCCACTTCCTCCAACAATTGAGTCGGCTCATCATTCTTCCTTTTGATTCTCTCATTTGTTGAATGGATTCTATCATGAGCCTTTCATATCGGTCACTTTTCTCAATCTCAGTCACTGAGTCACCGGTACAGCCTCAGGCTGAACGTTTATCCTGACTTGGCACGCCCCAGTCCGCGTTAGGCAATATGACGCCTTGCGGGGTACCACTGGCTTCTCCAAGCCTTCTCTCAAATATCGACCATAGATATCAACAGCCATGTTGATCTTTCAAAAATTCCATACTCGTGTGCGATTGGATTGTGGCTGAATCACCGCCCTGCTCTAATCCATACTTATCTCGGTCCATGAAATACTACAAATCATCGAGACCAATGCCACCCCAAACTCTCCCCCGAGTCCTCTTCTTCGATGTCTTTGGCACCGTCGTCGAATGGCGCACACCCGTCTCCAAAGCCCTCTATGAGGCAGCACAGAGCGCGCTCCGAGACCCAAAAAAGAAGCTCTCCGACGCCGTGCGCGCCAAAGCCTCGGCAATGACTCTACCAGACTGGCTCGATGTAGCCGAGGAATGGCGCAAGTCATATCACCACTTCACCCAGAACGCCGACACATCAAAGCCATTCGTCTCAGTCGACGAGCACCACTACTCGTATCTCCTCAAGCTCCTCCAAGCGCACGGTCTCGAGACTCTCTTCACCGACGCCCAGAGATGGGATCTCGCGCTGAGCTGGCACCGGCTCACCCCGTGGCCTGATACCGTTCGCGGCCTGGAGCTTCTGAACCGCAAGTTCCGCACCTGCACACTGTCCAACGGGAACGTGGCACTGCTGGAGGATCTCTGTCGGTACGGCTTGTTGCCCTTCACGGATGTGCTGAGTGCAGAGCACTTTGGGGCGTACAAGCCGTCACCCAAGGTCTACGGCGGGGCTGCGAAGAGATTCGGACTGGAGCCCGGGGAGTGTGCGCTTGTGGCGGCGCATCTGGGGGATCTGAAGGGTGCTAAAGCCTGTGGATTCCAGACGATTTATGTTGAGCGTTTGAAGGAGGAGACGTTGAATGTGGAGCAGGCACGGAAGGAGGGTTATGTGGATATCTGGGTTGATGCAAGCTGCGATGGGTTTGTTGAACTTGCCAGGCGGTTTGCCATTGGTACCGAGGCCAAGTTGTAGATTATCATGGTCAATTCTATTGCATGTATTCGGTTTTAGCCCAGCAATTGCAGAACAGCCTGATAAGCAAAAGACAGGTACTTGCTTTTGTTTATTCCGCACTTCCGCTGACGGTAGGATGGTGACATCAGATTTGTCAGCCTGGCCGTCAGCAGTCAGCAGGCTCAACCTATATATATATATATATATATAGATGGAGTGCCTACCATGGTCCTGATGCCTGACTTCGACCAAACAAGAGCACCATGACGGACCAGGTACGCATATATGCTTTCGGCATTACCCTTGCTCACACAAAGACAGCCCCGAATCTACAAACACGCCGATGCAGACGGACAATTCCGTCGCAAGCCATCGACATTCCGCTCGTTCGTCTCGAGCGATCCATCCTCCGAGTTCCCCGCACAGAAAGACCGCTACGTGCTATACCTGGGGTACAGCTGTCCCTGGGCGCACCGCACCAACATTGTGCGCACCCTCAAGGGACTCGAAGACCTCATCGAGCTGGTGGTGCTGGACCCGGAGCTGGGCCCGGACGGGTGGTTCTTCTCCGGCCGGTTTGGGTCAGCGGAGAGGGACCCCTTGTACGGATTCAAGCTGCTCAAGGAGCTCTATCTCAAGGCCGATCCGCAGTACGAGGGCCGGTACACGATCCCGGTCCTCTGGGACAAGCAGCGCCAAACGATCGTCAACAATGAAAGCAGCGAGATCATCCGCATGTTCTACACCGAGTTCGACCATCTCCTGCCCGAGGCGAGGCGCGAGGCCAACCAGCCGGGCGGCGGACTGTACCCCGCGCCTCTGCGAGCCGACATCGACGCCATGAACGAGTGGGTGTACGACAAGATCAACAACGGGGTGTACAAGACCGGGTTCGCCACGACGCAGGAAGCGTACCATGAGAACCTGTACCCGCTGTTTACGGCGCTGGACCGCGTCGAGGAGCATCTCGGACAGCCCGGTCACCAGCCGTATCTGTTTGGGGCGAACATCACCGAGGCGGATATCCGGCTGTACACGACGATTGCCCGCTTCGACGTGGCTTACTACCTGATCTTCCGGTGCAATCTGAGAATGATCCGGCATGACTACCCGCGCATTGATCGCTGGTACCGGCGGCTGTACTACGACGAGTCGGACAGAACGCGGGGGGCGTTCAAGAAGACGACCTTTTTTGATCTTGTAAGCTTCGTTCTGCCAAAAGAGGGCAATGCTGACCAGGCTAGTGTAAAATCGGGTATCTGAAGGCAACCGGGAAACAATCCAACGGGCCGCTCATCGTTCCCGCAGGGCCTGAGCCAGACATCCTACCGTTCAAGGACTAGCATTCGCAGAGGTCAAGGTCAGATGGACCAGTCATGTATCAGAGATGACATTCAATCAAGGTAATCTGCATTTTCTCCGCGGTCTCCGCGTCAATCGAGGATCAAGTCCTCGTCCAGGGACAGTAGGCGTGTATGGCCGCGAGGCAGTGATTGGCGTAGAATGACCCTAGGAGCAGCGTGCTTCCAGAATGACAAGGTAACGGGGATGTTTGCTTTTTCGTCCTGCAGGACAGTACAGATACTCTTCAGTTGATCTGGTCAAGTCGGAATAATCTTCCAGTGACTCCATCCACCATCCACCATCCACATCCTCCATCTATGCACTGCAACCCTGCCCATCTACCACCTATCCCAGCCCATCTGGAAGTGTAAGGTAAGTCATCGACGGTCTAGATCCATCCGACCCAGTCCCGGATAGCCACTAACCCCGAAAGAGGCAGGGAAACGGGCGATAACATCACCGCCGGAGCGACAACCATGGATGGATGAATATTAGTGGCATACTTGACTCTCATCTTGATTCTGATTTGCACTGTACACTGCGCAGCTAGAAATGCCAAGGTTATCAGGCACGCTGGTTAGCGGGGCCTTCCGAGCGGATGATATTGGGATCACTGATTGAGTACTCCGTAACGGAGTAGCTATTAAAATACCTCGTCATCGCGGTCTAATCTGTAGTGAATTGAGTTCAGAAATCATACTCTGTAGAGTAGGTATCTACTGTTCTGGGCTTCTACATGGAAGAATTCCGGAGAAATTGCCCATGCTACTGCTAGTCGAGAATCGAGACGGCCCCCTTAACCACCGACCTCCGTCGGCACACTAGGGCTCAGGATTTAGTCTTTACTCCGTAGGTAGTGTCTGGTTGATCCATGTAGGTTCTAATTCTATCCGAAATTCCAGGTGTTGTCCATTGATATGATGCCATGATGACGGTGATCTACCTGTTCTCCCTATCCAGCATGAATTGGTCTACGAGTTATCAATCGTATTATCATCTACAGGTAGATTGATATCATAAGGCGCTAAGGATGCACTCTCGACCTCGCACTGTGCACTGTGCAGTAGTACCGTCTACCCACGTGGGAAATGGGACAGGGGTCGAGAGAAGTACCTACAACTTCACAGTTGACACAAGAGGACGGAGTAAATTCAACTGAAACCAGCCTTAGCTGTATTGTTGCATTGTCTATTTCTTCTGACGCGAACTGTCAGGATGTCAAGCGCCCCTCCCCCTTAACCACACTCGTTCGGAGGCTAACGTGTAAATCTCGGACTATCCATGAGCTAGAACCAAACCAGTTCTAGAAGGATGAGAATACTACCTTGCCTTAGGGTTGCGGGATTAGTTGCAGGGAGCCTCGTCTTGATAGCCCAATTCAGGCATAGGTCAATCGCACCATGACGTTTTTCACCTACCATGCCTTTCATGAGTGAGCATCTTGGTACGGAGGACTCCGTACTCCTGAGGCAATGAGATCATTATCATCAAGCCTATGTTCTCATAGACTCAAGACGATACTTCTCCGCCTGGTCATGTCCATTGTCACAGTTATACTCCGTACTGCATACTGCAACTGCCAGATTACCAGTGGGGCACCATGCGTAAGGAGTCCCAGGAATCAGGAAGATGGAATTTTAGCGAGCAGCCCGGGGGCCGCGGAATGTTCGACAGCCTTCCCCGTTGAATAGGGATGGAACTTGCGAGACTAGTTGACTGTCACTGCAATTTGTCATTTGAGCTCCTCAATCACCATGCTCATCTAGACCTGCTTTAGGAGTACTTCCTTCGTATTGGGGCATGAAATGAATGAATATCCAAGTCATGCACCGTCCTCAGCTGTATCACTCTCATGCTTACCACTGGGTAGTTGAAGATGAAGCCAGAACAAACCGAATTGAGTTGATGCCAACTGGGTCTGGGACTGGGACTGTGGGTGTGGGGTGTCTTGGTGCTCCATCCGCCCACTTGGTGTGTACCCGAAACTGTCTTCAGTCGAAAGTGGGCATGTTTCCTTGAAGATCTGAGACGAGGCTAAATCAGGCAAAACTCTCACTTTCAGGCCGTTCTGAGACTCAGGGGGATAAGGCAAGTCTCTCATCATGAAGGATAGCTCTTTTCATTGCTTCATGTGGGTAATGCGACTCGTCTCGATGTCATGAAGGAGTGCAGCGAGTGGATTCATTTTCGCTTGGATTTCAAAGATCAAATCTGTGGGTACCTCAGTGCTCCCAGGAACGAACGATTCTATCTGCATCTCAGTATGAATGTCTGTGTTCAGGGTAAGCAACTCCTTCAAGATGATCCGTGATATACCCGTTGTAGGCTTGTAGACGAGTATACCCGAAGATAGCCCTGCACAGACAAGCCGAGACGCCACTCAATTGCTTCTGTTTAACATTTTAGTATGTGTGTGGAATTTATGAGTGTATCAACATCAAATCTATCAATTGATCCCAAGAGAAGCCTCCTTACCAAGTACTTCATACCAGTCTAGGTTCTTCATAGGTGCATGCACAGAGAAGTGTCACATATCTAGTTGGTATTAATTCCAACCTTTTAATTCTCACAGTAAACCGTGATATCCTTGCTATTATCGCTGTATTAATCCTACCCCAGTCAAGCATCAAGTCTCTTGCTGTAGAACTTCTACTAACTACTCTGGGTAGGTACACACTTTATAAGAGAGGGGAAGAGAACGTGCCTAAGGACGGAGTAATAGTCTAATAATTAATCACCATTGCTGTGGTTTTTCTCCCTCCCTTTTCATTATTATTATCTATTTCTTCCCCTGTGTCTATTTCTCCATCTATCTATACTCCTTCTTCTCCTGTTTCTCACGAGTGATCGATCCATCGTCTCGCTTCTCTCCTCTCCTCGCCATATTCCCCAGTGTCGCTGGCCAAGCCTTTTATCCTTGGTCCTCCCTGGCGTGGGCGCTTGATCGCCTGTGCAGCTTTCCCCCTCCCCCTCCCTAGAAGATAAGGAGTATCGAAAAAATAGAAAAGAAAGGAAAAGAGAACGATATCCCACCTTACGCCCCTTGAACTCTCACCACCCGATTTCTCTGAGTCCGAATTGAATCCGCTTCCTCCGTCAATTTCGCGTGGCGGAATCAATTTTGCGAAACAAATATATTAACAGAACAGCCCTCTGTGTCACTACTCATCGGAAGTCCTGGCAAACTCGCAGTTTGTCCTTCTGCTAGGAAAGGATATCTGCAGACTGCAGATATTGTTGGCTGCTGGAACTCTCACTTTCGGGTTTCCGCTCGAGTCCAGATTTTCTGTCTCGTACTACTACTTCTGTTGATCGACGAGCTTCCACTGCGACCGGAGAGCTCCAGGGTTTCTTTTGACCCCTCTTGCTTCAATTCGCTGATCAGGCCCAAAGGTATGTCATGTCTCTCTTTCTACTGTTTTCTGCTCCCGTGGGGCTTTGTTTTGTGGTGTGGACATGTGCTTGGACGGTTCTTCCGGTGGCTAAGAAACCGCACTAACTCAAGCACAATAGCCCGTTCTGAGTTCCTGCGCTGGACCCCCAGTGTCTCGCAACACTCCGTTATCCGCGTCCGTGCCCACCGTGGAGCATTCATAGCTTTCTCTTCTCTCTTCGCCCCTCTCTCTTCCCTTTCTTCGTGCTTCTTACCCAATCTTCCTCTACCCTTTTTCCCTCCTAAGAAAACCAAAAAATAAAATAAAAAAATTCGGCCAAACGATATCTGATTCTTCGGTTACCTCCGGGTGCGATACAGTCGCCATGTCGGGAAAAATGACGTTGTACAAATTGGTGGTGTTGGGAGATGGTGGTGTCGGGAAGACCGCGCTCACGATCCAGGTTAGCCCTCATCTGTCTTGATGGTCGATGGCATCGAATTAATCTTCTACTCTGAATAGCTTTGTTTGAATCATTTCGTCGAAACATACGATCCGACTATTGAAGACTCGTACCGCAAACAGGTCGTGATCGATCAGCAGTCCTGCATGTTGGAAGTGCTGGACACCGCAGGCCAGGAGGAATACACGGCCTTGCGAGATCAGTGGATTCGCGACGGCGAAGGTTTCGTGCTTGTCTACAGCATCACATCGCGCGCCTCATTCTCACGCATACAAAAATTCTACAACCAGATCAAGATGGTCAAGGAATCAGCCCACTCCGGGTCGCCGTCCGGAGCCAGCTATCTGGGATCGCCCATAAACGCGCCTTCGGGGCCACCCCTCCCCGTACCCGTGATGCTGGTTGGCAACAAGAGCGACAAGGCAGTGGAGCGAGCGGTCTCGGCGCAGGAAGGACAGGCCCTGGCGAAGGACTTGGGCTGCGAATTCGTCGAGGCGTCCGCCAAGAACTGCATCAACGTGGAGAAGGCCTTTTACGATGTCGTTCGCATGCTCCGACAGCAACGGCAACAGCAGCAGGGCGGACGATCCCAGGATCGTCGACCCACCGGCTTGGGTCCCATGCGCGATCGCGACGCCGGTCCTGAGTATCCCAAGTCTTTCCGACCCGACCGTTCCAGGCACCGAGGTGGCATCAAGTGCATCATACTATGAGGAACGCATTGGAAATCGCATTTTTCACCTCATTCACCTTTCTTCCACTCCCAACCCCACGAATATCCATGTGAGCCTGCTCCATGACAATATCTTCTATCTGTTTATATTGGCTGCATGAACGTCTTACCGGTCTCTGGACTATAGACTGGGCGGTCATTTCTCGTCACTTTCCTTCGTTACTCTTCTACTCTGCTTGTGTTGGATACGCACATACGGTTTTATGGAGATGCTTGATGTATGCTCCATGTTCCTCGGTACCCTGGAGTGTCGCCTGTGGAAAAGAACTTTTATTTCCGTTACATTGGAGAGGCTAGAATCTCAGAAGCAGTGGGGATTATAGACTTTTTTTTCTTCTCTCACGCACCCTGGATAATCACTTTTGACCCCTTGCATTGCTCGGTTCCAGCCTCGGGGATGCGGTTCATTCCAGCCACCTGGACCTCATG